AGCCCCGCCCCCTCCCCTCCCCTCTCCCTAATTAAACTGCAGGTGAACCTGCCAGGGTCTGGCCCGGCGCCAGGCACTAAACGCCTCCCTGCAGATCCCAACTTGCCTCCTTGCACCTCCTTGAGTGTGCCAGGGACAGCCCGCAGCCCTCGCTCCCCGTCCGCCCACGGAGCTCCGAGCCGGCAGCCCTCGCCGCTCTGCGGGCTGCAGGGAGCCGGGCACAGCCCCTCACCTTCGGGGATGCTGCCCTGGCCCCAGGGTCTCGCTTGCACCTATCAGCTGGGGGAAGGTCCAGGAGATGAGGGCACCCACAGGGATGCAGCTGAGCATCCAAAGCACCCACGTGTGCTTCGGGGCCAGGTGGGCAAAGCCCGTGGCTTGCCTGGGGGTACCGAAAACCCTGCCAGCAACCCAGCTGCAGCTGTGCTGGGCCAGGCGCTGCGGTCTGCGGGCACTGGAGCTTGGCTGGGGCTCTGCAGAGCCGGGCACCAGGGTCCTGAGCTTGGCAGCATCTCCCTTGATAGCCGAAACAGCACCTGCCTCCCTCAGCACACGGCAAAGCTTCACCAAGCTCCGATTCACAGCTGGCTGGGCCCCAGCACCTGGTGTTTCCAGCCTTGCGGGGAGTTCCTCCCTCCTTGCTGTAAGAAATCAGGGTTTGGCCATGGCCATGCAGACCACTTGGCGCAAGGGAGCCCTTCTAAGAAGAGCACAGGGCATGCAGGCATCACCCATCCCTCCACAGGCTGCAGAAGGAACCAGGGCATACTGGACTCTACAGCCATATCCCCTCCAGCCATGCACCCTCGGGGGCCTTCAAGGACACCCAGCCCCTCCGTGGGGGTCCCATTTCTTTCAGAGCTCCATACAGATGAAGTTGGAATCAGCAAAGAGGGATCCCTTAGCACACCTCAGATATCCCCTGCCTGGCAGCCAGACACTGCCAGCCCTGCTGGCACTGCATCCACCCATGGGTGCACACATACCAGACAAGGACAAAGGCTCAGTGACCCACCACCATTCGCAGCTTTGTTTTCAGCAGGCACCCAGACATGGTTCAGTCCAGCCAAGCCACAGAGTGCCCGGCAGCCCGTGGATGCTGCGGCAGGACCACGTGCCAGGGGCAACAGGCCACCCCGTCCAGCGAGGCAGACATGATTGTGCTGCTCACCCTCAGAGCAGGGGCAGGGGACCTGTCTCTGTTGCTGGTGCAGATGCAACCATCTGCCTCCACCTCACTGCTCCATCCTCCTACTTGTGTCCCTGGGGCCAGCAGAGGATGTCTGGCTGAGCCTGGATGCATATGGAGTGCAGGCCAAGGAGAATGGGGGATGCAGATGGCACTGGAGGCTCAGTGAGGGGTACAAGGGACACCCCACACCACAAGGGCTCAGCATCAAAAGACCAAACCTGAAAAACCCACAGCCCATGGGGGTGTCTCAAAAAAACACAGGGGCTCTGTGAGAGCAGGGATGGTAAATCCCTGAGCACCCCCTCTGCTTACCCTCCATTAACCTGTTGTGCCTCACAGCCACTGTGCCCTGCACCCCAGGGATGGCTCCATCTCCCTGCTGCCTCCAGCAGGTCTGTGCTCTGCCCAGGATGCTGTCAGCAACCCTGTCCCCAGCTATGCTGCCCAGAAGCCACCCCAGATTCCCAGCCCTGTCCGATTTGAAGCGTCCCTGCTCCTTCCTGGCTCGCAAGGGCTTGCACTCAAACTTCTGGGATTAGATCAGCACGATGGGGAGACAGGCACTCATTTGCCACTGTCCCCTACGCTGTCCCCATGGGATGAGCCCCCCAGCTTCACCAAGTGCCTGGATGCCAGGCAGAGTGTGGGACAGGCACTGGTGCTACACCCTGGATGGCTCACTCCTGCGCTGGGGAAGATGCAAGAGATGCAGGAGGTGGGGAGCAGAGCCAAGTGGGGAGAGCAGGAGGGAGAAGCCAGCTACAAATAATTTAAAGTGAGATTCACGCACGGCTGAACTGATGGCAGAAGAAGTGGGAAAAGGAATGAAAGATTAAAGGGTTCTGTCACTTCGGGTTACAAAAAACGATCCTACAAGCACGCTGCATTCCCAGGCACGGCAAGGATGGGGCAGGGCACAGAGCAGAGACCTGGTCCCTGGGGGTCAGATGCATCAATGCCCGCAGCACGGAGCCTGCACCCCTTGCTTCCGCCACTCGCCTCTCCTCTGGCTCTGGGCTCAGGAGATGCACCCAGCATCTCTGTTCTGATGGCTGTGTCCGTAACAGCTGCAAGGTGGAGCTCTGAGCTCCAGCTTGTTACCGAGAGACATGAGTGGGCTGGAAGTGGGACAGGGCACCAGCCTCAAGGCTTACTCCATGCCAGAATGACTGAGCAACCGCACGGGGTGGCCTGGGGGCTCGGGGCTTATCCTGTACCCTCTGCTGCCAAAACAGGAGTGCCATGAGGTGCCCATCTGCTCTGCTGCACCAGCCCTACCTCCATCCTTCCCCGGTGCTGGATCTCCATCTCAGGGGATGGGATCCCACTGGTGCTGGGAGCCTGGGCTGAGCCATACCCATGAGCTCAGGACTGGGGCAAGAGTCTAGGGGTTGCAGGAGTCCCCACACCCATCAGTCCCAGCCCTGACAGCAGAAAGGGCTGCGGTGGCACCTGAGACACAAGTGAGCTGCAAGTCCAGACCTGGTGGGCTGAGGAAGGGATGCAAAAGGTCAATGCTCTCTGCTGCTGGAGCTTCTCACCCAGCCTGGTGGGACACAGAGCCCGGAAGCTCGCCTGGGTGTGTGAGCAACTTGAGCCAGCAAGTCCGTGTCTCTTGCCGCCCGAGGAGACTAGAAGTGAACCACATTCCTCAGAGGACCTGGAAATACCTCGATGCTTATCAGAGCTGTCGGTCCCCACCCTCCCTGCCAGGCCCTAACCTGGGTGCTGCTCGTGGAGGGAAGACGCTGCCCTTCTCCAGGAACTGGTGCGCTGAGAGGGGCCACAGCTGCTCCACAGCAGGACCACAGCCCTGATGCCACATGTTCCCCAAGGTAGCATCTCCTCCAGTGAGGCTCTGCCCATCTGCCCTGGACACGAGGGACCTCCCAGTACCACAGTGCTTCTGTGCTTCCCTGTCCAGTCATCCTCCCACCTGCTACAGCTGCCTGTGGGCTCCTGCCACTACATCCCCTCAAAGGCACATAAGCCTCAAGCTACCAAACTCTCCTCTGTCAGACTCTCCTCTCAGTCCTAGGGAGGGAAGATGTTGTAGGATGTGAAAGGATGTTTGGGGAAGCAGAGGGGAGAGGCACCTCCCAGCTGGGCACCAGGCTAGGAGGCTCCCAAAAGGGGTAGGTGAGCAGCATCTTCAGTTAGTTTTCACCTTCCTCAGGAGGAGAAATGTGTTTGCTGGGCACCTCACCTGCCCTCAGCACCCTGCCTGCCTGCCACGGGCACCACACTGACCTCTCCTGCCCATGGTCTGGGGCAATGGGCACTTAGAAATATGCTGATGCCCAGGCCTCAAGAAGGGTACTTAGATGAGAAAATACATTAAGTCCTACAGAAGGTCCGATGAGGTCACAACCCTGATCTGCACCGTGGAGGGCAGCCCCTCTGCACCCCCAGAGTCTGCTCCTGAGGGAGAGAGTATCAGTCTGGGAGGCTCTGATACAGGCAGAGCCAGCCATGAGAGGGAGACAAGGAGACCCTGGCACCAGGGCTCGGTAGGCCGTGGAGGGCTAGAAGAGCTCTCCCACCAGCACAGGTCGGGGCTCTGTGGACAGGTGAGCTCCCAGGTCAGCCTGTCTCCCTGCCCCTCTGTGCCATCATGGTCTAGGGTCCCAAAAAAGCAGAGAGCCCTCAGTTCTCTGCACTGGGAGCCAATAAAAAGTCAGGACAGCAGGGTGATGGGCTCACAGAGCTATGTCCCATTAGCTAGGGGTGTTTCTGCTCACCATGATGCAGTGAGACACCATCCCCAGAGCAGGAATAAGCCACGATGCTCACTGCATCCACCAAACCGAATCCCAGAGCACAGTACCCACCTTCAAACCCACCAACTGTGCTGCACACCCATGGCACTGCTCAGAACACCAGCCTACACCACAGGGGGGCAAGATGCCAGAAAGCAGTGGGGCCTGGAAGGATCTTTGGGAGCAGCTGGGGCTGGGCAAGGAGGAACAGCTCAGGACAAGGGCCAGCATATGTATGAAAGTGCATGGAGAAGAGCCCAGCTTTGCCACAGCGCAGTGCTGCTCAGTCTGGCAGATCCTGAGGTTTCTCAGGCTCTGTCTGCCTTCATCCATGGGGATGCTGGAGAGCTGGCTTGGTCCCCTGGGTCAGGGAAGAGCTGTCCAGGGGTCCATGGGGAGCCCATGAGGACTTCTGAGAGCAGGAGATGGGCAGAAGAAGAGGAAGGAGACCATCCAGGCCTTACCTCTGCTGAAGATGATGCTCTCGTAGGGGATCTTGTTCTTGGTCTCGAGGCTGGAGCAGTTCCAGCGTTGGTCCCGGAACTGGTGCTGGCACTCGTGGATGGCGATCTGGATGCCCTGGATGGCCGAGGCAGTGACGTCGGGGTGGCGCACACAGACCTCCAGCTGCCGCCGCGTCAGCCCCGGCAGGGTCAGGCACACCGTGTTGGCATTCAGCACCGGCTCCGACGGCAGCTTCAGGCCCAGGATCTCATTGGAGCAGGAGCTGGGAGGGAAAGGGAAACCTGTGAGCTCTGATCAAGCAATGTGCCAATCTCCTTCCCCCCCCTCCCTTCGGGGAGGGGGAAAAGCTTGGAGGTGACACACATGGGAAGGGATATGCTCCTCAACCCACACTGTGCCTGCTGCTGAAAGAGAAAGCTGGGAAACCTCTGGGCTCAACAGCAGCTCAGCCAGGCAGAGATGTCCCAGCAGCACTGGGGCTGCAGTCCTCTCCAGCCTTGTTGGCACAGCCCAGACACCCAGGCAGCAGACTAATTTGGCCCTCCTGCCTCTGGACCCCAGCATCTCCCAGGGATGCACCCCCTCTGTGTGCTCCCCCAGGATCTCCCACCCTGGCCACGCAGTGCAGGCTCTTGGGCACACTGCCCTGGCTCACCTTCCCCAGAAAGTGTGGGTTTCCCTCAGGAACAATCTGGAGACCCCAGAGCAGGAGACCCATCCCAGGTCTGGCTCCATCCCTGTTGCTGGCTGATCCCCTCTCTGAATGTTCCGTACCCCCTGACACTCCTGGTCCCCACAAGGCAGGTAACCAGAGGGACCAGCCTTTTCCTGTCAGCTCAGATGGGAAATCTCAAGCCAGATACCCTGTCAAATGCCCTCAAGCTCCCAGTAACAATCCCAAATCCACCATCACACCCCAGACCCATTGGATCTGATGCCTGTCAACACAGCAGCACAGAGACCAACAGATGGATGGGTGAAAGAGGGGGGCACACGGTCAATGGCAGGGCTGCAAGGACCTACACAAGGAGAGATGCTGCCTGGGGAAACAGGGAGGTGGATGGAGTGTGGGAAGATGGAGCTAAGACCGTGGTACACAGGACAGATGGACACGGAGAGGGAGATGGAAGGGGAGGAAGTGTTTGACCAGCTCCAGGGAATGGCTTGAAGGACCCCGGGATCCAGAGTGTCCAAGCAGAGGACCTGCAAAGCAAGCAGCAGGCAGCAGGATGCCCAGCAGCATCCTGCATTTTGCAGCAGGGTCCATCAGGAGCTCAGCACCGCCATGCTCTTTGCTCAGCACAGCTGAGAGCTCTCTCCAGGCAGGGCTCTCTCTTCCCCAGGACAGACAAGAGCGGGGTCCCTGGGAGGAGCAAGGAGCTTGGAGCCCTTTGAACCTTTATTACAGAAATGAGACTTGGAGAAGGATGCTGTAGGAAGGGCTGCAGCTTCCTCACAGAGCAGCCAGGTCTTGGGGAGAAGGGTTACTCCCCCTCTGCTCCCCCAAATCCTGCAAGCCTGGTGCAGGTACATGGACAGAAGCTGCTCTCAGGGGTCAGGGACTGACTTCCCCAGCTCAGCACTCACGGAGCTCTGGAGGAAGGGCTCAGCCCCAGGGTCCCTGCAGAATTACAGCTTGTTCAGGGGGGAAGAGGAGCTGTCAGGGTCAGGCTGCTGCTTTCTCCAGCTTCCCGAGAGTGTTTATACCCACCCCACCACCTCCACGGGTGATATGTGGGTCTGCTCCAGTGCAGATCCACAATGACTCCAACAGGGAGAGTCGAGGTGGGAGGAGAGTGGAGAGAAGGAGAGTGGAAGGGGGTGCATCCCTCCAAAGCCCCTGCACAGGAGGGGAAATCATCTGCCCAGCTCCTGTGCTCATTCACGCTGTCGAAGCAAGCCCTGGCTGACACAAGATGCAAAGCAGGTCCACAGCTATCCCCATCCCCAAGCCCAGCAGCTCCTGCCCCAAGCGCTCCAAGGACCTTGTCCCCTGTCTGTCCTGAGCCAGTCACAGTGCCTGCCACCTTCTTCCAGGGCATCCACGGTGGGGGGGGGGTGGTGGGGTGGTGGTGGTGTTATGGTCCTTCTCCCCATCGCACAGCAGGGAAACTGAGGCAGGGCCCTGGTCTAGGTCCCCGAAGAGCAGAGGGCAGGTCCTTCCGCCTCTTGCTCCACCCAGGGCTCAGGGGGCACAGGGACCGGCAAGGAGCTGTCACTGTCACCCTCCCTAGGAGGACACAGCGCTCCCCCCAGCTCTCTTCCCCCTTGAAATCTGGATTTAAACTTGATTTCACGGTGACAAGCCCCCAGGTCACAGGCTGCAGCGGCTGCTGCTTTAATTAATACAAGTCCCAACGTTAACAAATTATATTTAAAGGGGCTGGAGGGAGGGGGAAGGGCGGGGGACCCCCCCACTCACACCAGCACCAGGGTTAACCCCTGGCTGCCTGCAGCGGACAAGTTTGGGAGCAGGCAGAGGGGAGCTGCCAGCCACGCGGGGGAGATGGAGACGGACAGGGGTGGTGAGTGTTGGGGGGCCGTTTTCTGGAAGACAGGCGTCTCCCCCTTACCCCCCCTCGCCTCTAGGATCGGCGGAGCCGGGGAGGCGATACAGGTGAATCCCCCGCCCCGGTGCGCGACCCTTGGGTGCGGAGCCCAAAGGCCCCCATCCCTGTCTCTTATAC